TCGATATTCGTGCGAAAATTATGACGGCGTGAGTCATACCTTTTGCACGACAAGCACAATAGCAGTAGATTATTTTGCAGAATGTCGGTGATTGCGCACCGTACGCGTATTTGAACACATCGTCAGGTCAACGTAAAACAATTGCGCCATGTGGAGCGGTTGCAAATTCTATGTTCAATGGTTACTTGTCCATATACATTTGATTCCTAATGTTCATTCATCCGCTTCTGCCTCAAAGACATCATGCTTTGTTGTATTAATGAAATTTTTTGAATAGATACATTCGAAGTGATTCGAGAACCAAACAAAACTTCCGTGCCATGGACATATAAGGGTATCGTTTGGCCGGTCGACAAGGAGCGTAAGTTCAAAAACCCTGAAGGAGCGACCCTTAAAGAAGCATTCGCGGTATTATTCAATTTTCTTGACAACATTTCTGATCGATTGCGTATTTATTTGATCCATCTCATCGTCATTATCACTCATTCAAAAATCATTTGAATCACTGGAGTAGAGAAAACGAAATCAAATTATTTGAATTATTCATTATCAGAAACATTGAGTATCAATTTTGTTAATATTGATTTCGTTTTTGAAGAACACCGTCAAGCCACCAAATTGGCAGAAAGAGGTGTGGCAGTTGGATCCATCAGATCCGGATAACAACGGCTTTTTGAATTCGGACTTCATTGTGTGGATGCGAACCGCAGCACTGCCAAACTTTCGTAAACTGTATCGGATTCTGATAAGGGACGCTACGGTCTCACAAGGTTTCTACAGTGGTGGTTTGCCAGCTGGTAATTATACCCTTCGAATCCATAGCAGTATGTATTTATTCACTTATTTATGCATTTATTCATTTATTTGCTATCTTCATTTGTTTGTTATTTTACGTTGCATTAAATCGCCATTCTTTATTGTTTCCTCACCAAAGTGTGACATTTTGAAGTCTTTTTTCATCATCCTTTTATTAATCTACATTATTATCTATTGCTTTTTCCATATCTTTCTCCGAGTCAGTCAGTGTTTT